GAGCTGGTGGTATTGCTCAACGTCATTTTACACAGCCCTATGAGTTTTGAGGGGATGCCAAATTCAGACATAGCGGCGTATAGGCAACTACTTTTAGTGCTGTCGAAAGCGGGTTTAAAGTCGACAAATAGGTGGTGAGTGTCGATCCTTTTCTCGCGGGTCTTTTCCAAGATTTGGCGTATTGTGAATACCTGGTCTATGGTGCATTTGCCAGGTTTAAAGCTACTTTGGTAAGGCCCAATCAGTTCATTGACGGTGGTATTCAGTCTTTCACACAATACATTCGATAAGACCTTGCAAGCTATGCTTAGAATGCTGATCCCGCGGTAGTTGGCCCGCATGGGGGTTCGCCTTTCTTGTCGATTGTGCAGAGCGCACTTGAATTCCAGTCGTCGGGCATGCACCTTATTAGCTCCTTGCCATCGTTATTGAATAGCTCAGCTGACAGGCCGTCAGCTCAAGCAGCTTTGTTACTTTTCATCAGCATAATCGGTGTTCGTACCTCGTCATAGTCAACCGCTGGGATATCGACTCCATCGTCATTGACTGGGGACGTATGTACATCTAAAACGCTGGAAGCATGCCTTCCCTCTATCACAACATGCTCGATTTGGTTTCCCGTTTTTCGATCTGAATACACCCATGTGCTGCCAAGTTTCGGGCCCCGGCGAAGTCAATCAGCCTCAGCCTGCTGTTTCTATGTGGAGGCTGAATCCCTTCATTGTCCATCTTGGCATTTAAATCGCCAAGCACGATTTTTAAACGTGTCGGGGGCAGCGGTAATATAAGAGAGATATAAGAGCGCTAAGCTAAGATATCCCTGGATGCCTCGTCCTTCTCTTCCCTCGGGGCACTGGCGCATATAAGCGAGATGCTGAAGAATCTCGCTTTGATGCGGATTGTCGCTAGACGTTCGTCCACTAGAATGAACGCCGGTCTCTCTCCCACCACAAATCCAACACCGACTTGCGCTCCTTTACGTGGCAACAGCAGTAGACGTCGCAAGGCTCCACGCTTACCTTCCTCGCCCCGTCTATCGCATTTCGTTATCATACCATGTCGTCAGTCTTTATTTTCCCTAGGATATCAACCAGCCTGGCAGAGGCACCTTCCCGATTAAGGGTTCGGATATTCCAGGTACATACCCTCAAATTCCTTCTTATGTTTGTCGTGATCGTCATCAAAAGAAGAGGGTATCATCCGAGGCACGTGTTTTTATACCCGAGCGCACTTGTGCACAAGGGTATTATAACTTTGTTCACATAACGGTTGTTTGTAACAGGCAAAACGAATCGAGATAGATATAGACAAATGTATACATAAATGATCAGAATGAAAAGAGAAATCGATTAAGCGGTGACTGTCTGTCCGTCCGTCCGTCTGTGCACACGATAACTCGAGTAAAAATTGAGATATCTTAATGAAACTTGGTACGTGAACTTCTTTTGGGTGTAGGACGGATGGTATTGAAAATGGAATGAAAATGGTAATGAAATGGCGAAATCGGACAATAACCACGCCTACGTCCCATATAACGGTAATTTCGAGAAATACAAAATCTTCGATAAATCAGTAAATATCAAAGCTAATTTATTCAAAATTGATGGTTGCAACAATTCTTTACCAAGAAATATGTTTATGATAAAATTTTGGAAAATGGGCGTGGCACCGCCCACTTGTGATTACATATATGTATCTCGCTAACCGTTCTAGCAATTTGTACCAAACTCGGTATGGTTATTGTGCTTGCCACATAAAAGCAAACCGTTGAAAATTGTTGAAATCGGTCTTAAATTACGGCCGCTTTTCAAATAAAAATAAATTTCAGAAATGCTTGAAATTTCAATATGTCGAAATTTAAGGACGCTAATTTACTTAAAATGTATACACCCCGGCTTATCATGTAGCGGTAGCTTTCGGCAAGGTGGAAAACATATCTTTAATACTTGCGCCGGGTATTTAATGTTCGGCTCCGCCCGAACTTAGACTTTCTTACTTGTTTTTCATTGGGCAGGGTTTAACGTGGCGGGACCCAAACCCAGCGCACGCGGGGTGTTACGCCCTCCCACTTTAGCTCGCTCCCAAACTAGTGTTCGGTCGCTACCCAGAGGATTCATGGATATAAATATCCGGACGTAGTGAGCAGCGATTTGAACCGTAAACACTCACGAATCACTTCTGGCCACTCCCAGGAGAAAGGCAGTCAAGAGCTTTGCAGTACTGGGAAATGTTCAAAACGTAGTGGTCAACGGCGAATATCTCAACTAAACCCTGATGTATTTTTAAATTCGTAACTCTACATACCTGTATAGTAAACCAAGTAGCCGGACCAGACGTTATTCAAAATAAAAAATTAAAAAAAAAAATGTAATATTCCTCCGAAATTTTGTAAGGTAAACTAACAAGTTATATATAATCGATGCTTTGCAGCGAAATATCTTCTCTTAATTATATACATTTGGATTTGTAAATATGAGGACGTATTGAATAGTCTGAGTATGCATATATTTTATGCTGGTATATTCATTTATGCTAAATATATTACTTGATTTTGTTTTGTCACACCGTGTAATAAATCAAAAAATTCATTAAGGGCCGTCAACTTATTTTAAAGTATAGTTAAATCATTAGTTAAACTTAATTACAGAAAATTCTGTGTAATTTTTCTGTAGTAAAGTGTAACTAATGATTTAACTATAATTTAAAATCGATATATTAGCATTATATATTAGTTATTATGCTATTTTTATTATAGAAATTTATGTGCGCTATGTGTTGTCTGCCATCTGCTGTAATTACTTAAGAAGTAAACGTCTTGGCTGTTCACCAAACCGGTCTATAGTTTTATCAATAATCTCAGATTGGTTCTGTGATGCAAAACTTTCGATAGTAATCGAAAGTAATAAACAATTGAGCTCGGGTACTCCTGCCCCTACCTGACTACGCCTATGTGTATGTATGTATATAGGTAACGGTACGGGCAATTCTATCGCAAAACAAGTAAAAAATTCTAAGTTCGGGCGGAGCCGAACATTAAATACCCGGCCCAAGTATTAAATATACGTTTTTCACCTTTCCGAAAGCTACCGCTACATGGTAAGCCGGAGTGTATAAATTTTGAGTAAGTTAGCGTCCTTAAATTTCGAAATATTGAAGTTTCAAGCGTTTCTGAAATTTACCGTTATATGAAAAGCGGCCGTAATTTTAGTCCGATTTCAACATTTTTCAACTTTTTGCTTTTATGTGGCAAGCACAATAAACATACCGAGTTTGGTACAAACGGTTACACGTTTTCCAAAATTTTATCATAAACGTATTTCTTGGTGAAGAATTGTTGCAAGCATCAATTTGGGATAAATAAGCTTTAATATTTACTGATTTATCGAAGATTTCGTATTTCTCCAAATTACCGTTATATGGGATGTGGGCGTGGTTATACTCCGATTAAAAATTTTCGGCCACTTGGTATGCTGTATCAAGGCCAACAACTGTGCCAAGTTTGGAAGAAATTGTTGCAGCAGTTACAAAGATATACACATGTAACCATAAGTTGGCGTGGCTACGCCCATTTTCCAAAAATTTTTAATAATCTTATTTTTCGTCTAAAAATTATTGTAAATATTNTTGGTATGCTGTATCAAGGCCAACAACTGTGCCAAGTTTGGAAGAAATTGTTGCAGCAGTTACAAAGATATACACATGTAACCATAAGTTGGCGTGGCTACGCCCATTTTCCAAAAATTTTTAATAATCTTATTTTTCGTCTAAAAATTATTGTAAATATTAATTTTGAGGGAATTATCTTCAGTGGTTACTAAAATATCGCAGTTTNAACCATTATTTTCCGAGCAAAAAATAAAACTTAAAACGTAACCATTATTTTCCGAGCAAAAAATAAAACTTAAAAGGTAACGATTATTTTCCGAGCAAAAAATAAAGCTCAAAACATAACGATTATTTTCTGAGTAAAAAATAAAACTCAAAATATAATGATTAAACTTGATTTTTATAAGTAAAAATTAAAAACTAAAAATCAGTGCCGCTTAAGAGTAAGTAAGAAGAAATTTATTGGTTTATTCCTTATGCACGTAGCCTTTCTCTTTCCGCGTGATTTTTTGAGTTGAAATTTCAAAGGCTAATCGTTATTTGCGGTCCCTGATATATGCTGTATAACAAATTATACTTCCAACGCTAACAAAATAATTAGTAAATTGATTTAAAAAGTGGATAGATCCACATATCCGGTTCTGTATCAAGTTATTCTCTCTAACTTCAAAGCACTTCCATTTAAAAAGGGTAAAAACCTGGCTGCAGGCGACAATGAGCAAAAATAGTTCAATTGTTTATTACTGTGTCTTTTCTAAGTGTACNAGGTAGGCGTGGTTATTGTGCGATTTTGCCCCATTTTCAATACCATCCGTCCTACGCCCAAAAGAAGTGCACGTACCAAGTTTCGTTAAGATATCACAATTTTTACTCGAGTTATAATGTGCACAGACGGACGGACAGACAGTCAACGCTTAATCCATTTCTGTTTTTATTCTGATCATTTATGTATACATTTGTCTATATCTATCTCGATTCGTTTTGCCTGTTACAAACAACCGTTATGTGAACAAAGTTATAATACCCTTGCATGGGCGTAGCCAGGTAGGGGCAGGGGGGCCGTTGGGGCCGACAGTGGCGTTAAAGGTTCAATGCAGCCGCCCCCTGTCTATTCACGCATGCACATACGCATACGCAAAAATTAAGTTTTATTTTCTGAGCAAAAAATAAAACTTAAAACGTAATCATTATTTTCCGAGCAAAAAATAAAACTTAAAATGTAACCATTATTTTCCGAGCAAAAAATAAAACTTAAAACGTAACCATTATTTTCCGAGCAAAAAATAAAACTTAAAAGGTAACGATTATTTTCCGAGCAAAAAATAAAGCTCAAAACATAACGATTATTTTCTGAGTAAAAAATAAAACTCAAAATATAATGATTAAACTTGATTTTTATAAGTAAAAATTAAAAACTAAAAATCAGTGCCGCTTAAGAGTAAGTAAGAAGAAATTTATTGGTTTATTCCTTATGCACGTAGCCTTTCTCTTTCCGCGTGATTTTTTGAGTTGAAATTTCAAAGGCTAATCGTTATTTGCGGTCCCTGATATATGNGCTTACATTAGAAAACGGCCCTTAGAGTACTATAACAGGACTGACTTCTGAATTTAAAAAAAGTAGGAAAATACTGGAAAAAGTTTGAAAGTAAAGTACAATAAATGAAAGTAAAAGCTACATGAAGGGATTGGAAAGCTTGCATTTTTGGACAGTACATATGTATGTCTTTAGGTTTGTGTCTTTTCTAAGCGTACAACGAAAGTTTTGTATCACAGAACCAATCTGAGATTATTGATGAAACTATAGACCGGTTGGGTGAACAGCCAAGACGTTTACTTCTTAAGTGTGACAAAACAAAATCAAGTAATATATTTATCATAAATGAATATACCACATAAAAAATCTGCATACCCAAAATGTTCAATACGTCCTCATATTTATACATACCTACGTATATAATTTAAGAGAAGATATCGCTGCAAAGCAATGATTATAAATTATTAGTTTACCTTACAAAATTGCGGAGGAATATTACAGAGTATACGGAAAAAAGTATATTTTTTACATTTTTTATTTTGAATAACATCTGGTCCGGCTATTTGGTTTACTATACAGATATATAGAGCTATGAATTTTTATTTATTTATTTATTTATTTATTTATTTATTTCAGTCTAAAAAGTACAAACTTTCTTACAGACTAGTTAAAAATAGAAAACAATTCAAGTTTAAATTTATATAAACTACTATTAAAATTAAGAACGCTGCTATATCGATTTGCTAGATGTATAGTTTTAACGATTGGTTCATTCATTGCATAATTTGTTTTATGAGTTACTTCGATAAATAATCTAGTATGCCGAAGATTATGCGGTGGAATATAGGGGATGAATAAATTAGACAAATCAGAGCATTTAATATTCGAGTTAATTATGTTATAGGCAAACAAGAGCGAGGAACAAGTTCTTCTCTCATACAAAGCCTGGAGCCCAAGTAATTTACGTCTGCTGGTATATGATGGGAGGCCATCAGGCCAACGAAGCATACGCAAAGCGATTTTAGTAAATATTTTCTGAACTCTCTCAATTTTACATGAGTGTACTTCGTAGAATGGGTTCCATATAAATGAGCAGTATTCGAGACGACTTCTTACCAAAGAAATGTAAAGTGATCTCAATGTCATTGGATCTTTAAAGTCTCCGGAATTACGTCTAATAAAACCAATCATTGCAAAAGATTTTGAAACAATAAAGTCAATGTGACTAGCGAAAGAGAGTTTGGAGTCAAAT